AAAAAAACTCTCAAAAAAAAATTTCAAAAAAAATTCCCCCCCCCAAAAAATTTCCCAAAAAAAAATTTCCCCCAAAAAATTCCCAAAAAATTGCCTTAAAAAATATTAAAAAAAAAATTATTCCCCCTCAAAAAAATTCCCAAAAAAACATTCCCGAAATATTCCCAAAAAAATATTCTCAAAAAAAGTCTCCAAAAAAATTCCCAACAAAGAAATTCCAAAAATAAAATTCCCCCCCCAAAAAAAATTCCCAAATCCCTCTTTTTTTTTTTTTTTTTTTTTTTTTTTTTTCCCGGGAAAACGGGACCCCCCCCTCCCCTCATTCCCGAGGAAATGAAAATCCGGGAAAATCGGGAATCTTTCCCTTCCCGAGTGTTTTTCCCGCACCTGATCCAGAGCAGGAATTCCAGGAGATAAAATCCCACGGCGTAATCCCAGAACCAGCTGGACGAGGAGCGCGGAGCCTGCGGAATTCCGGGGGGGAAAAAAAAAAAACCGGGAATGTTGGAGGGGGAGGGGCTGGAGAAGGGAATCCCGACATTCCCGACGTCCCAAAAATCCCAGGGAGGGGAACGGCCGGATCCGGGAAAATCCTGGATTTGCTGGGATGATCCAAAGAGTTGGGAAAATTCCCGGGATTTCCTTCGAATTCCCACCCCAGATTCATTCCTGGAATGGCCACGATCTTGGAAAATCCCGGGATTCCCAAAGCCTGGAATGCTGGGAGGCCCCATTCCCAGAATCCCGCCCCAAATCCATCCCTGGAATTCCCAGGATGACTCCAAGAGTCTGGAAAATCCCGGGATTCTCCCAAAATTCCCACTTCCCACCCCAAATTTATTCCTGGAATTCCCAGGACGACTCCAAGAACTTGGAGATTCCCGGGATTCCCAGAGCCTGGAATGCTGGGAGATTCCCAAAATCCCGCCCCAAATCCATCCCTGGAATTCTCGGGATGACTCCAAGAACTTGGAAATTCCCGGGATTCTCCCCAAACCCTGGAATGCTGGGAGATCCCATTCCCGGAATTCCCAAAAGTCCCGCCCTCAATCCCTCCCTGGAACTGCTGGGATGATTCCAAGATCATGGAAATTCCCGGGATTCCCAGAGGGGAGAAAATCCTGGAATTCTTGACACAATCCCAAGAACTTGGAAATTCCCGGGATTCCCCCCAAATTCCCGGGATTCCCACCCCAAATTAATTCCTGGAATTCCCAGGACGACTCCAAGAACTTGGAGATTCCCGGGATTCCCAGAGCCTGGAATGCTGGGAGATCCCGTTCCCAAAATCTCGCCCCAAATCCGTCCCTGGGATTCCCGGGACCATCCCAGGAAGTTGGAAATTCCCGGGATTCCCGGATCCCGGAGCGTCCCCATTCCCCAATCCCTTCCCCACGGGATCCCCGGGATCGGGGCGGATTCCCGGGATTGGGGTGGATCCCCGGGATGGATGGATCGGGGTTGGATGATCCCCGGGATGGATGGGGATGGATTGGGATCGGGATCCCCGGGATCGGGCAGATCCCTGGGATGGATTTGGATCGGGATCGGATCCCCGGGATGGATCGGGATTCCTGGGATCGATGGGATCCCTGGGATGGATCGGGATCCCCGGGATGGATCGGGGTTGGATTCCCGGGATGGACGGGGATGGATCGGGATCGGGATCAATGGGATCCCCAGGATGGGGCGGATTCCTGGGATGGATCGGGATCGGGATCAGGATCGATGGGATCCCTGGGATGGGGCGGATTCCCGGGATGGATCGGGATCGGGATTGGGATCGATGGGATCCCCGGGATGGATGGGGATCGGGATGGATGGGGATCGGGATGGATGGGGATCGGGATGGATGGGGATCGGGATGGATGGGGATCGGGATGGATGGGGATCGGGATGGATGGGGATCGGGATGGATGGGGATCGGGATGGATGGGGATCGGGATGGATGGGGATCGGGATGGATGGGGATCGGGATGGATGGGGATCGGGATGGATGGGGATCGGGATGGATGGGGATCGGGATGGATGGGGATCGGGATGGATGGGGATCGGGATGGATGGGGATCGGGATGGATGGGGATCGGGATGGATGGGGATCGGGATGGATGGGGATCGGGATGGATGGGGATCGGGATGGATGGGGATCGGGATGGATGGGGATCGGGATGGATGGGGATCGGGATGGATGGGGATCGGGATGGATGGGGATCGGGATGGATGGGGATCGGGATGGATGGGGATCGGGATGGATGGGGATCGGGATGGATGGGGATCGGGATGGATGGGGATCGGGATGGATGGGGATCGGGATGGATGGGGATCGGGATGGATGGGGATCGGGATGGATGGGGATCGGGATGGATGGGGATCGGGATGGATGGGGATCGGGATGGATGGGGATCGGGATGGATGGGGATCGGGATGGATGGGGATCGGGATGGATGGGGATCGGGATGGATGGGGATCGGGATGGATGGGGATCGGGATGGATGGGGATCGGGATGGATGGGGATCGGGATGGATGGGGATCGGGATGGATGGGGATCGGGATGGATGGGGATCGGGATGGATGGGGATCGGGATGGATGGGGATCGGGATGGATGGGGATCGGGATGGATGGGGATTTCAGGGAGGGATCGGGATCGGGATCAGGATCGATGGGATCCCTGGGATGGATTTGGATCGGGAGCGGATCCCCGGGATGGATGGGATCCCCGGGATGGATTGGGATTGGGATGGATCGGGATCCCCGGGATGGATGGGGATCCCCGGGATGGATGGGGATCCCCGGGATGGATGGGGATTTCCGGGATGGATCGGGATCGGGATGGATTGGGATCCCCGGGATGGATCGGGGTTTGGATCGGGATCGGGATGGATGGGATCCCCGGGATGGATGGGATCCCCGGGATGGATTGGGATCCCCGGGATGGATGGGGATCCCCGGGATGGATCAGGATCGGGATGGATCGGAATCCCCGGGATGGATGGGGCGGATCCCTGCCTGCTGGGTGGGATCCTGGTAGACGATCCGGACGTTGTCGCTGTGCGGGAACCACAGGAAGCGAAAATACTGCGAGCGGCTCAGGTGCTGCTCCAGCCCTTCCAGGACCTGCCGGGAAGGAATAAACACCGGGAATAAACACCGGGAATACTGGGAATTCTGGGAATACTGGGAATACTGGGAATACTGGGAATACTGGGAATACTGGGATTGGCTCAGGTGCTGCTCCAGCCCTTCCAGGACCTGCCAGGAATAACAAACCGGGAATTCTGGGAATTCTGGGAATACTGCGAGTGGCTCAGGTGCTGCTCCAGCCCTTCCAGGACCTGCCGGGAAGGAATAAACACCGGGAATTCTGGGAATTCTGGGAATACTGGGAATACTGAGAATACTGGGAATAACAAACTGGGAACACTGGGAATACTGGGAATAACAAACTGGGAACACTGGGAATACGGGGATGGGCCCAGGTGCTGCTCCAGCCCTTCCAGGACCTGCCGGGAATAAACACCGGGAATAAACGCCAGGAATAACAAACTGGGAATAAACAACCGGGAATAAACAACCGGGAATAAAAAATGGGAATAACAAACTGGGAATTCTGGGAAAACAAACCAGGAAAAACCGGGAAAAACCAGGAATACTGGGAAAACAATCCGGGAAAAACAGGGAATACTGGGAAATCTGGGAATACCGGGAAATCCGGGAAAACAAACTGGGAATACTGGGAAATTCCCAGGGGGCCGGGATTCCCGATCCTTTCCGGAATTCCAGGATTCCATGAAATTCCCTCCTCCTGCCCTCCCCATCCCAAATCCTTCCCAAGGACTCCGGTTGATCCGGGATTATCCCACAAATCCTCGGGATTCATCTTGAAATCCCGGGAATGCTGAGCCCGTCCTTGCCTGACCTTCCCGGGAATTCTTTTCCCGCATTCCCGGGGTTTTTTTTTTTTTTTCCCGGATTTTTGGGGTCTTCTCCCGTTTTTTTTTTCCTGGGATGGGATCGGGGATGAATCCACGGATAAAGGGATGGGGATTTTCCCGGGAATCTGCAGCTCTGGGATGGGGGAGGGGCAAGGAAAAGCGGGATCGGGCTGGGAATGGGATGGGGTTGGGAATCCATGGACCCCATCCCAAGGAATTCCGGGATTCCGGGATCCAGAATTCCCAGGGGGAAAAAGAATCCTGCAAATATTTCCTGGGAATGTTTCTTGGGAATATTCCCTGGGGTTTCTTTTCCTGGGAATATTTTCTGGGAATATTCCCTGCGAATAATTTCCTGGGAATCTTTTCCAGGACTCCTTCCTGGCAGATCCTCTCCATTTTCCCAGGGAATTCCCACCATTCCCAGCCTGGATTGGATTTGGAATCAGCCTGGAATTATTCGGGAATTATTCAGGAATTATTTGGGAATTATTCTGGGATTTTTCTGGAATTATTTGGGAATTATTCAGGAATTATTCGGGAATTTTTTGGGCATTTTTCTGGGAATGGTGCTGCTCCAGCCCTTCCAGTTTTTCTGGGTTTTTTTCTGGAATTTTTCTGGAATTATTCAGGAATTATTTTGGAATAATTCTGAAATTTTTCTGGAATTTTTCTGGAATTATTTGGGAATTATTTAGGCATTTTTTGGGAATTATTTGGGAATTATTGAAGCCATTCCGGGATTCCGGGATCCAGGGCGCTCAGGATCCATCCCGAGGGATTTTTATGGCATTCTGGGATCGGGAATCCCAGGCTGGGAATGGAGGGAATTCCCTGGGAATTGGGGAGAAATTTGGGATTTGGGCTGGAATTCCCTGAGAAAAAGGGGGAAAATTTGGGATTTGGGCCGGAATTCCCGGCTGGGAAGGTGGAGCAGGACCAGGATTCGATTCCCAGCGAATCCCTTCGAGAATCCACAGAAAAACCGGGAATTCTCCCATCCCAAAACATTCCAGGACCCTCCCCCTCATTCCCGGCCTTCGGAATCCCCGGGATCCGATCCGGGGCAAACGGGGACGGGGAAATTCCACAATCCCGGCTCCAACGGCTCCGTGTCTGACATTCCCGGAAATCTGAACCCCTCATTCCCAAATTATCTGAATCCCTCATTCCCAGAAATCCCAGCCACTCATTCCCGGAGATCTGAATCCCTCATTCCCGGTTTTCTGAACCCCTCATTCCCAATTATTTGAGTCCCTCATTCCCAAATTATCTCCAGCTTGCATTCCCGGTTTTCTGAGCCCCTCATCATTCCCAATTATCTGAATCCCTCATTCCCAATTATCTGAACCCCTCATCATTCCCAAATTATCTGAACCCCTCATTCCCAAATTATCTCCGGCTCTCATTCCCGGTTTTCTGAGCCCCTCATTCCCAAATTATCCCAGTCCCTCATTCCCAGAGATCTGAATCCCTCATTCCCAAATTATCTCCGGCTCTCATTCCCGTTTTTCTGAGCCCCTCATTCCCAAATTATCCGAGTCCCTCATTCCCAGAGATCTGAATCCCTCATTCCCAAATTATCCCCGGCGCTCATTCCCAAATTATCTGAACCCCTCAATCCCAGGAATCTGAACCCCTCATTCCCAATTTATCTCTGGCTCTCATTCCCGGTTTTCTGAGCCCCTCATTCCCAAATTATCTGAACCCCTCATTCCCAATTTATGTCTGGCTCTCATTCCCGGTTTTCTGAGCCCCTCATCATTCCCAAATTATCTGAATCCCTCATTCCCGGTTTTCTGAGCCCCCCATTCCCGGTTATCTCTGGCTCTCATTCCCAAATTATCTGAACCCCTCATTCCCAGGAATCTGAACCCCTCATTCCCAATTTATCTGAACCCATTCCCAATTTATCTGAAGCCCTCATTCCCGGTTTTCTGCATCCCTCATTCCCAAATTATCTCCGGCTCTCATTCCCAATTATCTGAGCCACTCATTCCCGAGTTATCTCCGGCTCTCATTCCCGGTTTTCTGAGCCCCTCATCATTCCCAGTTATCCGAGTCCCTCATTCCCAATTATCCGCCTCCCTTGATTCCCGGTTATCTCCGGCTCTCATTCCCGGTTTTCCGCCGCTCTCATTATCCCGGGATGAAAGGCGGGAGTCGGGATCAGGGCGAAGGTCGGGATGAGGGCGGCGACATTCCCGGGACATTCCGGGACGTTCCGGGATATTTTGGGATAGTTTGGGATATTTTGGGATATTGTTTCCCCTCCCGGAGGACGGGAAAGGTCGGGATGAGGAGAGGGGGGAGGGGGAGCGGATTCCTGGGGATGGAGAATTCCAGGGAAAACGGGGAATGGGAGGGGGGGGGAGGGGAGGGGGG